GTAAGGTTTGGAATAACAGAACTAAAAGTTTGGTTCATCAAGAATATATATATTTGTTGCGTTTTTCTTTCTTTTTTTTTATTTATTTTTTATTTAATTTTTTTATTTAAAAATTTTAATGTTGATTTCTACGCCGAGGAAGTTTAGGAAATGACAAACACAATTAAAATATATCCCTAATTATTATTACTAATTTCACGAGAAACCGYGTGATTACCCATACATAATCCGCAAGTATTAAAATAACAAAAAATCAAAAGTTTTGAACATTTTCCCCCGCTTTTTTGCACTAAAAATTGTAATTTCAATTTCTTCCCCGAGACTTAAATATGTGTAATATATGCTCACTGAATACTTATTGTGACGACGCAGTGATATGATTAAGTTATGGGGCGARTTCCGCGAGCGTTGGGATATGAGGTAAAAACAGCGAGGAAGCTTGAGAAATGTGAACATCACCGCCATCGCCAAAATTCAACTTCCTAACCTTTGAATGACATTGTTTAATAAGTCATCTGTGTACAGGGGTGAAAACGCACTGCGCATGCTTGATGTTCTGCGAAGAATCTGTTAGTCTCCCCCACAGCCGCTTTCAGTGTCGTCACGCAACGCTTTCTGAGTAGCTGCTCAGGGGAGAAAGCGTTGCGTGACGATACTGAAAGTGGCTGTGGGGGAGACTAGGAATCTGTAGACGYGTTAGGTTTAAAAATGAAACTTGGAGATTTATCGGAGTTTGTGTATCATGCAAATTTCTCTCGAAATAAAACAAGTAAAGTGATGTGTYTAACTTTCCAAGAACGGCCTTAAATTTAAAGATCTACCAAACTCCTGTAAATCAATCATATTTCGATTCGATGTATAAAGAGAACGTAAATCCCYCAGCTAATGACCGGAAATGAGAGCATCATTTTACGTAATCTCACATAAACAATCAATTGAGAAATACGAGTATCAGAGAAAATAATAGTTTTTTTTCTTTTCTCGAAGATATTAGCTTTGTAAGCTACTCTGAAATTCGAGGTTAAATAAAGTTTATGTATGCATGTATGTATGTATGTATGTAATATAAAACGAATGCTGCGTGGTCAGAAATAGGGGACTTCACATATAGACTTAATTACGTCCACAGGGTCTTTTCATCTTAAAATGAAATTAACTTAACTGTAAGAGTGTTTCATATGACTCTGGCTGACATCACATTCGTTGCATTTTATTTGGCAATTGATTTGAGCTTTTGACATCGAGTTAATTATCCAAGGTTTACTCAATGAAAACAACCCGGGGGGGGGGGGGGGGGGCCCCCCACCCCCCCCCCCCCCGGGAAAAACAATAAATAAAGCTGAATAAAATAATAAATATAACAATTTAGAAAAGTATATATTGTTACAGTTTAAATAGTGAGCTTTTAGAATAAGCCCGAAAGGGTTTTTTAAGCTCTTCACACATATATATATATATAACCTATGTAATAACGAATCTGAAATTTGTATATGACTTGTACACTTACTTGAATATTGGCGGTAATGGCACCCCATACTTGCAAGATGGTTGTCATACATGAATAGAACATTCGTAATTTCGTAAATTAGTGATTTAGTAATTTTACCGATTAGGAATAAATTATTACGAAATTTATATCTCGCAAAATTAAATATCAAATATTTTTGACAAACAGTTAATTATGGACTTTACATTTCTT